ATACTACTGATAAAGATTATCAGTGACATTTAAATCTGGGAATCTAGTGTTCAACCTGATTACACCATTCATGCTTGACTTTGAAGAAATGATGTCATTTGTCTCAGAACATGTTTTCAGGAAGCTCTCTCCACCTTTGCCTTTTATAAATCTTGGTATTTCTTTGTTTTCAACAGTGGAATCTGAGTTTATTCAAAATCCCTGAAGGTAGACTGTTTTCAGTTAAGCAGTTATTCTCATACTTTTTGCTGCCTCTTTTTTTTAAGTGACTATTCTCATTTCATTGCCACATTTTGCTTTATTATGTGGTTTTGATCATTAATGATTTAAACATATATGATAAAAACTGAGCATCTATTATACTGAATAGCAGGTTGCAAATGATACAGACTGACAGTTTGTCTTTTCATCTTAAGTATGACTTCTGACCGTGTATCAAAACCTTCCTGGAAGCTTTGTCTAAGTCACTTTTCTTTAAGTTGATATTTGTTGGTTTTTAGCTTTTCCATGATTATTTTATCGCACTGTCCCTAATCACTGTAAAAAATTTTTAAAACCCAACTTTTTTTGGAAAGCTACTTTTATCAGTCCAGTCTAGGGGAGTAACTTGGAGTTGATATGAAAATAAGTGTAGCCATCACTCCCAGATCCCCTCAAGCATGTTGAGGTCTATTACTGTGTTTTAAAAGGGACTGAAAGCATCCAAGGACAGGAGAAAGTTAGGCGCTTTCTCTGGGTCTCTAGCGATGGCATTTCCTGTCCCTGATGGGAGAAGAGAGCTGTGAGGACTTCACTCTGAGGCTCCAAAAGAAGTGCTTGTTAGCTTTTTCCAGAGAACAATCCCTCTTTATTTAAAACTCGGAGGCACACTTCTTAGTCACACACTTGCTCACTGTCCTGAGCAGCAATGTTCTGCCTTTGTTTTGTTAATAAACAACACATACATCTGGCAAGCTGGGTATTTATTTCACTTTGTAACTCCTCAAATAGCTGTTCCTCGGGGAGATGGAACTGGTTAAACATTACTCTTCAGATCATAAAGTATGCAACCCCTTTAGGAGCCCTTTGCAGCCATCCCCTAAGGGACCTGGCAGCACCGAGAGTAAAGTGTCTGTTGTTTTGGGGTTTGTGTATGTATTGTAGCCTGCGACAGTGAGGAGAAACACGTACTACAAAAGAAAGACGAGAAGAAAAACTGCCATTACCTAGAGGCCCCCTCCCCCCCCCCAAGTTGCAAAAATTTATTACCTTAAGTGATGTAGTGGTGTAGTGGTTACTAACAGCGTTAGGCTGCTAAACTGCCATGCCAGGTCAGCAGTTCAAAACCACCAGTCACTCCTAAGGAGAAAGCCACCCCAAGCTTTCTACTCCTATAAAGAGTTACAGTCTTGGAAACTCACCAGGACAGTTCTACTCTATCCTATAGGTATAGGGTCACTATGAGTGGGCATCGATTCCATGGGAGTGCATTTATTTTGGTTTATGTTTTTTCAGTGTAGTTTATAGGTAATTGTTTTAGTCCAACAAGAAGTGTGCTTAATGAGGGAGCGGTGTGATTGAATCCTTCCTGCGAAAAAGTTCACCATGAGCATCTAGGTCTGCAACATGCTTTAAAAGTCCGTTGATAGTTATTGGACCCGTAAAGCGGGACAAGAGAGGCTTTCGATCAAAACCATCCTTAGTGCTTTCAGACTTTGCCTTTGAGTGTCTGTTTCCAGAGATGGAATAAAACCTTGGGAACCTGCCCCATGCCTGCCCCATTCTCTGTGTGCTCCTGTGTGTCTTGTCTGTCTCTGCCCGGTACAGCCCGAGGCAGTCAGGGAGCTTTGGTTTTAGTAAAACATGAGTTTTAGAGTCGCTGTGTGGAGTTCCAGTGCCCGTTGCAGTTGGCACGTCCTTTTTCTGTATCTGTGCTCATCTTGGGATCTCAAAGTTTAACTTTGGGGAATGGTAGCATCTTTTCAGCCACCTAGGACAGAACACCTGTGGTCATGCTTGGGAAACAGATAGTTCTGTTGACAGTTAGGGAAAAGTCATGTTTCTGAACCAGACACAGGATGTTCAGGACCTGTTCACTGTGCCTCCCTGGGCCCTGGTGGCACAGTCATTAAAGTGCTCACCTGCTACATGAAAAGTCAGTGGTTTGAACCCACCCAGCTGCTCTGTGGGAGAGAGATATGGATGGCCGCCCGTTCCTGTAAAGATAAAGCTTTGGAAATCTTCTGAGGCGTTTTTCCTCTGACCTGAAGGGTCGCTACAATTGACTTCCACTGTGAGCATCTTAAAGGACACACGTCGACATTCTTCCAGAACTCTCCCTAACTTTGTCTTCTGCTTCCCTGTCTTTCTGCCTTTCTCTCCCCAAGAGCCTCCCTCTTGGCTTCTCTGGCATCCTTTTTAAAGCTGTAGTTATGATATCTGTTTGCATTTTGTGTTTCCTCTAAGATTCCAAGATTCCACTCTCAACTTCTTCTGTAACCATGATTCTTTCTTGCTTTTCATTCCTAGCTTTCGAAGCTACCTCCTTTCGATTTTACATCCATGTGCATTATGACAGTTGAAAAATGAAGCCCCAAGTGGCTCCTCTTGGGTTCTTGGGGGTGGGGGTGGGGGTGGGGAGGAAACACAGTTGAAGGAATAAAATTTGCTTCAAAGAGGTGCTTAAATCAGAGGGAAACATGACCTCAAAGAAGAGGCAAGAAAACATTCCCTTATAAAGGAATGCTTCTCTTACAAAGAAAAGGTCTGATTTTGCCTCCTCCCCCATCCTGCATCCCAGCCGCCCGCCGTAGCTAAATCATAGGATCCGACAGGTCTAAGAAAAGGCTCAGGTTCTTCATGGGAGGGACCTCGCCATTGAGAAACCTCGATCGTTCTTACACATCCCTCTCCATGGCTCATCCCACTACCCAGGCTTCCTTTCAGGAGGAGTGTGGACTAGCTCAGTGATGTCTCAGTGATAGATAGGAAAGCGTTTAAGGAACTTTGATGAAATCAGGTCACTGGAGAAACGAAAAACAAACAAACATTGTTTTCTTAGTATTCCTGTATGTGTCTAGTGGGGGCCTTTCCTTTATGCTGTCATCTCTCTTGGTGATCTCCTGGCCTTCAACTCCCTACTTCATGATTATGACAGGATATCTTTTCACGCCGACTCTTCCCCAAAATCATCTATCCGACCACCTGTTAGACATTCCACTTGGGTGTAGGGTCTCATAGAACTACCACCGGATAGCTGCCTTCACCATCTAAACCGAAGCATTTAATCTTCCTTCTTCAGACCCATTTCCCAGTCTTCCCTCTTCTAAAACTCAGGCCAGCAACCCTGAGTCACTGGGGACATCTTATTGTCTAACCTCACACCTAACCACCATCTGCCCACCGATCCTGGTGCTTTTACTGCTCAAAATATGACATCTGAGAACTTGGCCATTCCTCAGTGCCTCTGCAAGGCCATGGTATTGCCACAGCCTCCCTCCTAAAACCCTTCCTGTGCCACATAGCGCTTTACTCAAAGTCCTGAACATTCGTACAAACTCCTTCGCAGAGCCAGCAATTACCACCTCTTTTCTCTCACTTCATTTCCTAATCTCCCTGATGCTTACCTGGCTACAGCCCACTAATGTCTTTGCTGTTTAATACCAGGCTTGTGCCTGCCTCAGGCCTTTGTGGATAGCAGGAAGGTGAGTTTATCTTTAAGCAAAAAAACAAAAATTTCGACAGAATAATAATTTATAAATTTTCAAGGGTTCAGGGGGGAGAGGGGAGTGGGGAGGGAAGGGAAGGGAAGGGAAAAAAATGAAGAGCTGATACCAAGGGCTCAAGTAGAAAGCAGGTGTTTTGAGAATGACGATGGCAACATATGTACAAATGTGCTTGACACAATTGATGTATGTGTGGATTGTGATAAGCATTGTATGAGCCCCTAATAAAATGATTTAAAAAAAATTCTAAGTGCTGAAAACATCCAAAGCAAATTGAAAGAAAACAGTCGCCTACACAAAACTTTTATGCAAATATTTGTAGTTTAAAAAAAGTTTGCGATCAAAAACTGGAAGTTCCACAACCTACATGTCCATCAACTAATAAATGGATAGATTAAAATGTAGCTTAGCTCTGTGTGGACTATTTGGTAATAAAAAGGAACAAAGTGTGGATGCATACTTACAACAGGGGACTCCTGAAATTCTGTGCTTAGTTAAAAGAACCCAGCCACAAAAGACCACATACTGTATGAGTCCATTTCTATGGAATGCCAGAATAGGTAGATTTATAGAGATGAAAAGTAGATTGTTAAAAGAAGATGGAGTGATTGAAGGGTGAAAACTAAGGCTTTTGAGGCAATTGAGATTCTAGAACTAATTGTGATGCTTAATGCATATGTATATCCACTACTGATTACCATGGTTAGGTTTCAAAGTCCAGATCATTTGTAACAATCCATGTTTTGAAAAGGTGGAGGATGACTGTATCATTGCATAGCTGCCAAACCACTAAGAAGCATAGCCAAGCTGACACATAGCCTTAATCATCACAGCCATTGTTACTCGCACCTCACACTTCTGCTTGTTACTTTCAGATGAGTTTGATTAGGGCACAAAATAGAGAGTAGATTTCAATGGAAGAGATAGTAATTCACGAGGAGTAGGTGTGCCAAAAACCGTGGAATCATTTACTTGGGTGAATCGTATGATGTATGAATTATATCTGAGTAAAGCTGCTTTTCAAAAGACTCAGCTGATCACAGTCGTTAGAAAGCAATCTTGAAGTTTTTACCTGTTGGTGTATATAAGATAGAGAATTCAATCTTTTACCACATTTTAAAGGAAACTCTGTGGCTGTTCTTGTTTTCACTATTTTAATTTATTTTTTAATGCTGATATTTCTCCAACGTGCACATAGTGGGGTGGTCAACATCGAAGTGGATGAAACCTTTTCTTGTTTGGCATGAGGATGAGAAAGAGGGAGTGCTGAGCACAGGTCTGTTTTCTCTCTTCCAGCATTTCCACGATGGGAGGAAGGCACAGCAGCACATAGAGACTTGCTGGAAGCAGCTTGAATCAGTAAGTAAAAAGCAAATGCTTTCAGATATGTCTTTATAGTAAGGTGACCAGACATCCTGCTTTTGGAGGGACAGTCCCGCTTTTTGGAAAGAATGCGCAACAAGCTAGGGAATGGTCTATTTGGTCCATATAGACCACATTTTTAGTCAAGGAAACACCCCCACCCCCTGTCAATGGTGTCACCTTACTTTATAGGACCTTCTCACTTGAACTTAATTCACACCTGAATCAATCCAGAAGTTAAATTAATAAATAAAATCACCAAAAGACACACTGGAGAACCAGACATCTTGATAGTTTTTTCCCTTTAGGTTTGAATCGAACTGAATGTTGCTTCAAAAGCCATTTTCTAAAGTATCATGTTTATGAGCCAAAAGAGCTCGAGTAGAATCTAAGCCATATGGACAGAACAAAGATGTAGACTGTGTTGATGAAAATAAATGCTGATTTTTAAAAAAACTGCCTAAACTTTAGACACATCGCAAATCTGTTCAGAGAACAATGGCTGTCTTGGAATTTATTACAATCTTCCCGGATGAGCTTCATGATTTTACAGGTAATTGCTTTCCTCACCACCGTCTCCCCTGGCTTTCTAGAGTAAAAGGCGGTTTGAGCGAGACTGCAAAGAGGCTGACCGAGCGCAACAGTATTTTGAGAAAATGGATGCTGACATCAATGTTACAAAAGCCGATGTTGAAAAGGTAAGGCAAAAGTGAGAGTTTTTCTTTCATTTCCCTTTTCAATGTTCGTCACAGGCCTCCAAGTTCTGCTTTCTGATGTAGCCACAAACAAAGGATGGGGGGGAACTACCACCTTGAGATCTTTTTCATTTTCTGTCAACAGCCTTAGGGCCCCCCTGAGGCTATCCTCTTCTGGGGGACATTCCCGGGGAATCTTCTGTGTTCTCCCTTTGAGGAGTTTATTTGATTAGTCACCACGATGACGATGTGACGATTCAGACCATGAACGATGACGATGTGAAGATTCAGACCATGAACGTATGCTAGGAGGGTGGTTTCCCAAGGCCATGGCTCTTTCTAATGGCCTTTCAGAGTGAAAACTCCCTTCTTGAAAGCCAGAGCAACTGCTCCTCGCCACCGGCTTCTAGTGCTTGCCTTTAAAAGAGAGGGGCCTGGAAGGCGTGCCTGACTTCGGATGGATTAATGCAGGTTGATGACTGCCAGACTGTGCTTCCAGGCTTGGCTGTTTTAGTCCTTCTAAAAGTTGTACTCGAAATGGACTTGTATTGTCAACTAAGAATATTATAAAGTGTACACTGTAGCTTCTTGTTTCTGAATGCAAGTTCTTTGCCCTAGAAGCTGAATTTTCTTTTTATAAAAGTCATCAATAGAGTCAACAAATTATGCTGTTAAAGTAACAGTATTCATTCCTTATTGCCCAGGGCTATTTTGGTCTCTGCAACTACTTGCTTTTTGCCTGGGAAGAGCCTTGTGTTTTCATAGATTTCTTTCAGATCCTTGGAGATGAGTTCATTTGAGCCATACTTGGATTAGTTGTTTACCCAGTTTGTCCAGAATCCTTGCTTTTAAGACTAGGTGACATGAAAAAATAATATCAATTTGTAAGTGATCAAGGGTTCATGAGGGAAGGAGGCAGGGGGATGAGGAGCTGATACCAAGGGCTCAAGTAGAAAGAAAATGCTTTGAAAATGATGATGACAACACATGTACAAAGGTGCTTGAGACAATGTATGGCTTGTTAGAAGAGCTATAGAGCCCCCAAAAAATGATTTAAAAAAAAAAAAAAAGACTAGGTGACTACGAGGTGTTTCTAAAAGTTTCCAGGGAAGTTCCATTATCTTTTTAATTCTACTTTCCATGAACCTTTCTCTGTCCCCTCATATTAGTATGCCTTCCTCTAAAATTATTTGATATATTAAAATACATATTTACAATATCCAAGTGGAGATATTTACCACTCAATGGACAAATTATATTAGGATTTATTAATTTGCAGACAGTTACCATAAATTTGACACAAGGTTCTGTTAAATAACCAATCCCCAGTATAATTAAGATGTCATTTAATTAAAATACTTTTGACTTATTTCTCAGAAAAATTGTCAGCATATGTGCCCTAAAGATATGCCTAACACAAATGTATGCCTTTTTTTTTTTTTTAACATTTTATTAGGGGCTCATACAACTGTTATCGCAATCCATACATGCATCAATTGTGTAAAGCACATTTGTATATCATTCTCAAAACATTTTCTCTCCACTTAAACCCCCGACATTAGGTCCTCATTTTTCCCCTCCCTCCCCCCTCCCCCCTCCCTCATGAGCCCTTGATAGTTTATAAATTGGTATTTTGTCATATCTTGCAATGTATGCCTTTTTAACCAAATATTTTGTTATCATCTATGTCAGCAGTTCTCACCCTGTGGGTTGCCACCCCTTTGGGGGTCAAACGACCCATTCACAGGGGTCACCCGATTCCTAATAGTAGAAAATTATAGTTATGAAGTAGCAACGAAAATAATTTTATGGTTAGGGGGTCACCACAACATGAGGAACTGTATTAAAGGGTCGTGGCATTAGGAAGGTTGAGAACCACTGATCTATGTAGTATTAGAGTGCTTTTTATTCTTTTAAAGATGTTTTAAAATTACTTCTATGGCCTTTCTTATTATAAAAGCTCATTGCAGAAAAATCTGAAAATACAAACAATCCTTCAGAAAACTGCAGAAGTCATCCAACTATTTTAATATCAAGACATTTTAAACTTTCAGAGCCTTTTCTTTAAAAAAAAAAAAAGAGAGAGAGTACAGATGAACAGCGTAAAGAATAATACAAAGACTACCTGCATATCCATACCCACCTTAAGAAACAGAATCTTCATGGCACTTTTGAAGCCTCTCTTCTCATCCCCATCCTGAATTTGGTGTTAGTAATTTTCCTAGTCATTACAAATGTACTCATGTATATGGAGACATGTATATGTCTCCAAAGAGTGCGTTTAATAACTTTGTCTCTTTTTCACTTTTATATAAATACTTTATATTTTGTGGCTTGGGTTTTTTATTTAAGATTATGTTTTAGAGTATAGAGCTTATTTAGATTTCTATATTAGAATAATAATGATATTAATAATTAATATGATATAATATATTAACAGAGGCAGGCACTTTGCGAAACTCTGTTAAAGTATTCAGGAGCCATAGCATAAGTTTGATTGTCTGTTCAGGGGCAAATTTTTCTTTTATCTTTATTTTGATTCATTGGGCTTGTTGAGTCCAAAGTGTGGTATCTTCTAGCTCATGCCTAACCCCCATTCTTTTTATTCTTTCCTTCTAGAACTCTGACTGTAAGGTATAAGTTAAAACTTCTTACTCTCTCTGTTTCATGTCCATTAATCTTTATTTTCCATCTCTTTGCCTTTTTGTGCTTTGTTCTTTGTAGGTCTTTCAGATCATTCTAATATTTCACAAATTCTTCACCTTTGTCTAACATGTGGTTTAACCTATTCATTAAGCTTCTAATTTCTTTGTTGCATTTTAATTTCTAGAAGTTCATTTTATTCTTTTAAAAATATGTATCATTTTGTTTTTTCTTTTAATTTTATTACATTTTTGTACCATATTTTACTTTTTAACTTGTTAACAATGCTGATTCTTATTATCTCTTTGGTTGAGTTCTGTATCTGCTATCTTTGTGGAACTGGTTCTCCAGTTGATTGTTTCTGCCAACTTGTCTCCTTGTGTATTTTTTAATCCAAACACTTCTGCTATAGTGATGTAAATGAATTCCTAAAAGCAACTCTATGTTCTGCAAAAATGCTCCTAAAAATGACAAGCAGGGCTTTGGGGAAAGATAGGCTTAAGACAGATAACTCAAAACATACGTTGTTTTCAGATGCTGGTGAGTCGGTCCGACTCATAATGACTCATGCACAATACAATGAAGCATTGCCTGGCCCTGAAACATCCTCACAAGCCCATTGTTACAGTCACAGCTCAGTGTATCTCTTGACAGTGTTCCTGTAGAACATTGTCAACAGACTCACTGCCATCAAGTTGATGCTGATTTATAGCGACCCTATAGTATAAGGTAGAACTGCCCCCTGTGAGTTTCTGAGACTGTAACTATTTATAGGAGTAGAAAGTCTGTCTTTCTCCCAAGAAGGGCTGGTGGTTTTGAACTGCTGGCTTTGCAGTTAGCTAACCCAAGACATAACCATTACGCTAATAGGGCCCTATTATTACAGAGCACCAATAAAAGAACAACAATCTTAGTAAAACTACTAAAAAAACTAATAAGCCACTGCCATCGAATCAATTCTGCTTCATAATACCCCTATTTAGGCCTACCCCACAGTGCCCACCAAGTCTCCTTTAATTAAACCTGTATCAGCATTTGCACTGAACATCACAGTCAATTTCTTGCTCTTCCTCCTCAGAGATTGAGGTTTTTTGAGAGCCTTAGCTTTTATCAAAATTAAAAATTAAATCCAGGATATAGTTTTCTGCACTTATCAATTGTCTTAACACAAGAGGAAATACCTTCCCAGATGACATTTTGCACTCCCAGCTTTACCGGATAACCCAACATAGGGGAGGTTAGTAGTTCTTGAAGCTCTGAAACCACTACCAACAGTTTGGACTGAACTATGGGAAAGTATACCCGTTATTGCTTCCCAACATTAAAATGGTGTGTATATATGGCCAGAAAGACTTCTGTGTTACATCAGCATGGTTCCCCTACTTTTCAGTCACATCATATTACATAAAGTGTGGGCGGGGGGAGCTTGTTGAACTATGGAGCAGACTGTATATGGTTATGAATGATTGGAATTTTATCTATGGTGATTCTTGAAGGCTTTGGTTTAAACTAGGCTTTCTAGCAAGCAGGCATCACCTGGGGCACTACAGAACTACAGCCGCATCAATCTAGATTTTGAGTTTGGGATTTGTAGGTCTCATGTACTACTGTGAATTCTAACCCCAAGAGTACTTGAGGGTAAATTTGTAGCTTAGAATTTTTCAGGATTTTTTTTCTTTGTTTTCACCTTTAGATCAGATTCAAGATAGATAAATTAACAAAAGGGAAATTTCTAGGTCCTCACATGAATCTAAGATTTTTTTTCCTTCTAAATTTTTATTTATTTTGCTGCTGTTCTTGGGCTTGCGAGGGGGCTGTAACAAGTTCGTGGAAAAATAAAATTAAAAGACAATGGAATTTTCTCCACAACCTTTTTGAAGCCCCATTATATACACAGCAAAGCAAACTCCAGTTCAGCAGTTTCTATGTGTACAATTTAGGGACGTTGGTTACATACTGCAGGTTGTGGAACCCCTCATGCATTTCTGAGTTATTCCTCCTTCGTTAGCATAGACTCACTGCCCGCTGAGGTTCCTATCTTTTGAGTTGCTGTTGCCAATTTGATCTCATATAAATATGAGCCTAATGCTTGAGGCAGATTTTTTACGAGTTAAGCTAAACTGTTGTTCATTGCTAAGAAGACTCCAGTGGACTTTTGTTGGTTTAAGATTTAAAGGTTATCTCAAGGCAAGAGTTTCAAGGTTTGTTCACCATCCATGAGTCCAGAAAATCTAGAGTCCATGGGAATTTGAAATTCTGTTCTGCATTTTCTCCCTTTTGATCAGGACTATTCTGTGGACTCTGATCACAGTGTCAAGCAGTGGTAGTCAGGCACCAATGGGCTCATGGCAAAGAGAGCT